CACTCACCCGCTTTTCCCCTACGCCACGCTTTTCCGACCTCCCCACGTTCCTTTTCCCCGTTTCCCAGGCCCCCCGTTGGAACCCCCGGCCTCAAATTTTGGGTTCCACACAAAAAAAAAAAAAGAACGCCTGCATTTCTAGAGTCTCGCTCTGCTAAAGCAAGCTCTATTAAGAGGCATATCAGCGATCTGGTTTACTGTAAACAGTTTACAGCGAAAGGTATTTAAAGTATCCCGCTGAATTTCTACTAGAATAGTTCTAAGATAAAGTCCATAGATTACAAACGACGAAGAAGAATATTACCGATCATTTGGTTTTGTTGACGCCTAAATAAAGAGAGCAGAGCTCTTCTAAACTCTGGCATTCTGATAGCGTATAATATGGGATTAACAAGAGAGTTTGCGTTGTACAAAAAAATCAAAGCGATATTCAAACGAAACTGTTTTGGAACAGATAAGGACTTGACATGGTTAGTTCTAAAATTAACAAAAGTGGCTACAACATATGGTAGCCACATCAGTAAAGATACAACAGTCATTAAGAGTAATGTCACAGTAAGTTTTCTTTGTCTTCTGGCTGCACCATGGTGCGGAGGACGCGCTCCACAACAAAATTTAACAACGGTAGAAGTGTAAGAAACACAGATAACAAATAGACACAAACAGTTGTATGATTGCCATAAGTAAAAATAATGTGACCTCGAATTCGTGGAGAGCTTAAATGACACCACTGTTGCTGATACTGTGGCAGCCAAAACCCAGACAAAAGCAATCGCTACACCGTAGACCCACTTTTTGATGACCCGATGCTGGAATGGACGAAACGTGGCGTGTGTTTGTTGTAAAGAAATCATAGCAATGTTTGTCAGAGATGCCAAAGGAAAAAAAAGGATGGCGAAGTTTAAAGGCACAGTTCTCCAATATGATCCCAAGTTCAATTCAGAAAATTTGCAGTAGCTGCTATTCAATGTAAAAAATAAATCTGCAATGAAACTTCCCCCAGCCAACATGTCAGCTACCGTCAAGTTAATAACCAAGAACAAGCCTCTTTTGCGAAGACAATTGTTCTTCATAAAAAGAATGATTGAAATAAGGTTCCCCGCTATTATAACAGCAGACTCTATCATGCCCAATGAAAGCCAGGTCACGCACTCGGATGAAGAAAAAATCATGAACATAGCTTTTTCTTGATTATTTTCAGTGGTTGTGTTTCTTTTTCCGTTCCCTTCTGCTCGTTGTCCTGTTGAAATAATCAACTTTAAAGGGTTAAAAAAAATAGCAACGCACTAAGCAAGTTTGAGAAGATCAATAAGTGGGCATAAAATATTTGCTCCTCAACATATAACAACAAATTAAAAATAACTAGTATATTAAGTATCTTTAAAATTTGAGTCTGAGTGTTTATTGCCGTCGGAATACCATGCAAAGTTCAACATCGTAACTAAAGAAGAATATCAAAAGCTCCTAAATGAAGTCACTCAGGCTAAACTAGTCACGTACGCCGTTTGATACGAAAAAAAATCCAAATGGGAAAAAATTGGGAACGTTTCCTCCAACCAATGCAGTCGCACACAAACCTCTCTCTTGGAGCTAAAGGTAAAAAAAAAACCAGAAGAAGTGACAACCTCTTTCCCAGATTCTCTCTCCTACCAGTTGATCGCTCCGTAGGGCGGGTAGGAGAGAACCCCGGGAACAAAGTTGAAGAAATTAAGACGGAATCTATTAGGAAATCTATTAGGAATTTTAATTTTCAGTGGACAAAAACCTTGTACCAGAATAATTGAAACAATATCGCATTCTTTTTCACACTTTTCAAGGGTTATAGATATAACTAGTTATCTGTAATAACACCAAAGACAACCTCATGGGAGCCTGAGAAAATAAATGTCATATTTCACAAGAAATGGGAAAACACACTGTAAAATTCTGAAAACTTCATGTTCAAGATGATGCCATTTTGTGAAATTTGACATTAATTTTCTAGGGCTCCCATAAAAATTGTTCTTTGGTGTTGTTACAGATAACTAATTACATTTAGTATATACTAAAACAGTGGATAGTGTTTTTCGAGCGCTCTGATTGGCTACCCAATCAGTGAATATCCTACACTATTCACTGATTCACCTCCAGTTCCTCCGAGCGAGCAACGCCAAACTCGCGTAAGTTGCGAGCAAAATGCCTTCCCGGTTTTCTGCCGTAAACAAACAAACAAATTTCACAACTAATCAAGCAAGCTGTTCCTGAAATACACGAAGAAGGTGACGAAGTTCGGATTGGAAGTTTTAACAGGTAAAGCTTTGTCTTTTTGACACTAATTTATCGATAAAACTGGTGAAAAAGTTTTTGTTTACAAATGCAAATTAAGTTTAAGTCTTGCTTACTTTATTTAGTTGAGTTGTTCATAAATAAGCTTCAAACTAAATTTAATAATCTTTTTTTATAGAATGATTTTAAATACAGAAAGAATTCACAACTCCTTTTGAAGAAATTTCCCCGCAAGAGCTAAACAAATGCCTTGAAAAGTTTTAATTGTCGGCAAGAATAAAGCGACGGCCGCAGCCGCCCGGTCATTACGCGCCAAAATTGTAATCGTTGGCAACAGTATTTGAGTTAAAAATCATCATTTTTGTGCTCAATGATCTCACTGTTTTAGTATATACTAAAACAATTATTCACCTCAGTGTCGGTGGCTAGTCGTGGATATTTACCTCACTGCTTCGCAGTTCGGTAAATATCCAGGACTAGCCACCTCCACTTCGGTGAATAATTGTTATCTATAGCCCTTGAAAAGTGAAAAAAGAATGCAATATGCTTCAAATTATCCTGGTACAAGGTTTTTGAAATTACTCAATTTCCTAATGATATCCGTCTTAAAAGTCGGGAGCTGATATGAATCAACTTTCAAAGCCTCATATACCTATGGGCAATAGGGTAAGTTAACGCTATAACGGCTCCCGTGCGTTCATACCATGCCAACTAAGAAATTATTTAGCATATTCTTTGTCACTGCTTCTACGTTTCGTTTTGCCGAATGAGTTATACATTTTATCTGCGTGACGAATAGAAGTACATACAGTCTAGTTACATACAGATTATTTCTATGAACGTAGAAAGTAATACAATACATACGTAATCTAGTAAGGTAAACTATCGTAAGTCGCTTCCGATTTCCAGATACCGTGCAACTTAATGAGTAAACTTTCAGATAAGTAAGCGGTGGAGCTTCTCGTCTCCCCCCAATCGTTTACACTACACACGCAAAAAATCTTAGCCTTACCTCTGATCCTTAAGAATAAAAACGGCGCAACTACTCTTTTTTGCTTTATATATACTTTGTGTCTATTTTTAGAGAGCAAGAGTGGCGAAATATGGTTTCAATATTCGTATTTCCCTTCTGGAGTATAAAGGAAACTGATCTCGACAAGAGGACAAAAAAAAGGAAATGAGAAAACGGCGGCAAGATACCGTCAAACAAGGAAAAGGTTTAACATTGAAAAGTTCTGGAGAACTAACAAAATTGGGAGACCATTATTTCAAACAGCAAAATGAGGAAAATCTTCTCTTCATTACTGAGAAAAACAACAAGCTGAACAAGATATTGATTGAAGGAGTGGTTGGCAAGCAAGTTTGTTGTAGAGTGTGTGTGTTTCTTTTTCTGCTAGTTTCTGCTCGTTGACCTTTTGAATAAACCAACTTTAAAAGGTTAAGAAACAACAACGCACTAAGCAAATTTGAGGATAATTTTTTTAAAAATTTATGCAGTGTTATGAAATATGTGCCACTCAACATTTTAAGCATTGTTGAGAAAAATGTAGCTATAACAACAACAACAACAAGCTTTAATTCGCTATTTATATTCACGACTAAGAGACGGGAACAATAGGTGTGCAGCTCCAACTGTGAGTCTGAGTGTTTATTGACGTCCGAATACCATACAAAGTTCAACATCGTAACTAAAGAAGAATATCAAACACTCCTAAATTAAGTCACTCAGGCTCAATTAGTCACGTGCGCCATCTGATACGAAAAAAAAAACCCAAATGGGAAAAAATTGGGAACGTTTGCCCCAACCAGTGCAGTCGTACTTAAACCTCTCTTGGAGCTAAAGGTAAAAAAATCTTAATAATAAAAAGTTGAAAGTTTGGGAACTGAGAAAAATCAACTTTCAAAACCTATAGGCAATAGAGTAACTGCATAACAGCTCTCGTGCGTTCATACCATGCCAACAAGAAATTATTTACATTCTTTGTCATTGCCTCTTCGTTACGTTTCGCCGAATGAGTTATACGTTTATTTGCATGGCGAGTAGAAGTACATACAGGTGAGTATTGCAAAAGCTATTTCAAGAAGAGGAATTAAAATTTCATCACAGGATGATCAAGCTTCTTTGTTAATAATTGGTCGCGAAAATCAAAGCAAACTGAAATATATTTCATGAACTGTATATTGATGATGTAATTAGATGAGTCCATCAGTTCATTGATTAAAAAGATTAGTTTTAGGATGTTACTTGGAGTCCATACTTAGCACTCAGTCCCTATTGGTCTAATAAAACTTTCACACTTATTTAAATAAGAAAGGTATGAATGGGATATAAAATCCTTTCCCGATTCAACTAATGAAGCCAGTACACGGCTTGCTAGCCTTCACAGTCCCCATACAATATATAACTTGAACATAACGAATTGAAATGGGATGTTTTGTGGGTTGCTGACAACCAGCAATACGATTCTTTAGAAATTCATTTTTTTCTGAAGTTTAGATGCAAAAACACATGCGCAATGTTAACCATCGTAAGCTTGATTCCAGCGACCCTGCAACTTAATAAACTTTCAGAAAAATAAGCGGCGGAGCTTCCCGTCTCCCTCCAATCTTACACTATATAAACAAAGAATCTTAGCAGTTACCTTTGATCCTTAAAAAACTACGGCACAAATCACCGTTTTTGCTCTTTAAATTGTATTTTTTTTTCGAGGTAAAAGTGCCGAAATATGGGTTCAGTATTCGTATTCCCCAATAATCAGTACGAGTAGGCCCTCGAGCATGAATGCAAAGCAAATACTGGGAACCTCTCGCCATGAGGACAAAAAACGTGAGAAAACTGGATCTTGATGCCGGAAAACAAGGAAAATGTTTAATGTAGGAAAGTTCTGGAGAGCTTACAAAACTGAGAGATCATTATTTCAAACAGCGCAATGAGGAAAATCTACTCTTCTTTGAGTGAATGGTTGACCAGCAAGTTAGTAATATAAAAGGGATCTCATTGCGCAGGAATCATTGCGCATTAACTTGCACAGAAATACGTTAACGCCGATGACGTCATAGCCTTTGTCTTTTAATGTGCTATTTTTAGGGGTTTATTTGGTTTGATATATTTTACATCGAACAATCTCTTGCTGTTTTTATTTGTTCACTTAAAACTAAAAAAGTATTCAAAAAAAGTAGAAATGTGGCGGTGGTGTTAGTGGTGGTGGAGGAAACAAAAAAAAATTGAGTAGGAGCAAAATAAATTAATTTTGGAGGAGAAAGCTGGGAATTGTGGAAATTAGTCTGCTTATAAAATCTTTAAAATGTAGGTTTTGCGCGCCAAGAATCAATGAACCGGAACTGAACAACTTGTTGTCTGTAATAGAAAATGAAAGCGGCGGGAAATAGAACTTGCATAATTACGTTACGGCTCAGTGATTTTCGATCACAGGCGAGTTAGCCCTCATTCCTTGAACAACATGAATCAACCATAAAAAAATTTTCTTAGTTTTTATTCAACAAATCAAACAGCGAGACATTCATCGATCTAAAACCTGTTGAAGCAGATGAACTCCCTAGAAATAGCACTTGATCCCATCTTAATGAGAATCTCCGGCATATTATTCATGAACTAAAGGTTATGACTAAGGCAATGACGTCATCGGCATTAAGGTATTCCTGCACGAGTTAATAAGATTCGGCCGCAACAAAAGAGTAAGACATCCCTACTATACTACTCAAGTTAAACATCGCAAAATCCCAGAATTTTTTCGATATTAACGCCTTTTGATGTTAGTCGACCGTTTTTGGTCACTATCTTGCCGAAAAAAAGTTAAAACTACCCAAACGCTGTTGGTAAGGTAAGGGTGTGACAAAATTAAATGCTTAAAGTTAGTAAACAGTCGATGGTGCTTGGTTGCTACAA